ATAAAACTTAAACCAGTTCTTGCTATTAAAGAGGACTTGTTTTTGTATTTCAGAATTAAACAGGCTGTTATACCAACATACAAGCAAGCAAGCAAGCACACATATGAAAGCTAAGCTTACAAAACTGGATGTTTCTTGTTCAAAAGGAATGCTGGGATAATGGGGTGGCCCATTGAGCATATAGCTCAAAGCAACACAGTCCTCCCCAAACAGCTCTGAAAGGACAGTATCCATATGGAGAGATCATGCCATCACCCAACCTCCTGTCCCACAGGAACATTAATTGCTTTTCGCTAAATCACACAATAGGCCCATCTGGACCAGAACTGCCTACACTGACTGGCAGCAGCTCTCCAGGGTTTCAGGCAGGAGGCTCTCGTAGCCCTACCTGGAGATGCTGAGGAGAGAACCTGGACCTTCCCCAGGCAAAGTAGATGTTCTGCCATGGAGGTATGGCTCTTACGACACAGGAACGTGGGAAGCTGCCTTGTATATACCAAGTCAGACCACTGACTCCATCTGGATTAGTAGTGTCTACCCTGGCTGGCAGCAGCTCTCCAGGGGTCTCTCCCAGTCTTTCACAGAGATGCCAGTGGTTGAACCAAGGACCTTCTCTACACAAAGCAGAGGCTCTACCAATTAACTATGGTGGAATGCCGTAGCAAAAGCAGGATTTTGCCCTTATTCCCTTCCCTTATGTCGGAGAGGTTTGATCTTCTTGCAGTCCATGGGACTCTCAAGAGTCTCCTCCAACACCATAATTCAAAAGCATCAATTCTTCGGCGATCAGCCTTCTTTATGGCCCAGCTCTCACTTCCATACATCACTACTTGGAAAACCATAGCTTTAACTATACAGACCTTTGTATAAAACTAGCCTGTGTTAAAATGCAAAATCCACATTTGTTGCTCCACCCACTTCTGCCTCCGGCCCCGCCCACTACTGGTATGTGGCTCCTGAAAAGTTGCCTGGAAGGGAATGTGGCTCTTGGGTTGTTAAAAGTTCCCCACCTCCGACTCAAGAGACGTGGCGTTACCTTCTCCAAAAGCACCTCTCTTTTATTTGCGGGGAGGGAGGTGGGAGATGTCTCCCAGAGGGTTCGAGACAACTGCCTTCCAAATAATTGTCGCTGGCCAGAAGTTGTTTATGGAAACCCACTGAACAGTTTCCTTTCTAAGATAATATTGTCAGCCAGTCTCTTGCGTGAAGAAGCAGGCTGTGGGCCATGAAATATGAATGTCTCCAGAGAATTTAAAGGCCAATGTACACATTCACTAAAGTCAAGTGGCAAAGCCTTTCCTGGACTGTACCACTGGGCCTGACCCACTGAGGAGGCCGTGTGAGGCACCCACCTAATGCAGCGGAAGCTGCTGGGTGAAGAGGAGGGGTGGTGGATATGGAAGGGACAACAGGGTTTAAGGAGGAACCTGTGGCAGGGAGCAGTTCAGACTCCAAGGCTGCAGCAGAGGAGGGGGGTTAAGATACTACTGATGGATTCTGGGAGTCTCCCTCTCCTGCTGCGACAAGCTCCCCTCCACCCTGGTCTGCAAGAACATACAGAATAATGAGGAGAGCAGAACAGAGGCAGATGCAGTTTGAGACTGCTTGAAAAACAGCTGGGAGAGGAGGAGCCTTAGAGGAGGTGGAAGGCAGGGACAGTTCCACAGGGGCAAGACCTACTCGGAAGTGTGGCTGAGTTGCATGCTGTTTCCTTGAATAAAGAGTTAACTTTACTGACAACTGACTGCGTCTTCATGCTGACCTGCATCTGATTCCAGCCCTGGCACCCAGGAAGAAAGAGCTGGGAAAGACAGCCTGGAGACCCTCCCCCTTCCAATCAGTGTAAATTGGAGTTGGGGGAAACCCAGGAGCTACAGTCCTTTCTGGGGAACATATGCCAGACATGGGCAGGGCCAGAGGCAAAAGTGGGCGGAGCAACAAATGCAAATTTTACCATTGTACAGTTGGCTAGTTTCTACACACCGCTCTCTGTCCTCCACCCAGAGAAGCAAAAGGCATGATCCAGCCTGGCAAGAATATTCAAGGAGGATGCAAAGCAGGGTCAGGTAGGGGTGTGGCCTGAGTAGGGGGCGTGGCTTGGGAGAGTGCCTAAGGCCAGAAGGAGAGGCCTAAGGGGCTGCATTTGACCCCCGTGGGTAAATGGACTAAAATTCTGAACTCTGTACAAAGTAGCTTCTCAAGTTCCATACGTGAAACAAGTCTTTGAAAGCCCAGAAAAGCACGGCAGATTTTTGCGTGTACCTTTGGGGTGTTTTGAAGCATGACTGGTTGCATAAAATGTTTCTTTCTTTCTTTATTTACTGCATGGCGTGCATCCAGAAAAAAGCTTCCCACATCCTTCTTGTCTTGCTGGAAGTTATTTGAATGCAGCTTCAATTGCCATTGACTTAGTCTGAACTGCTGGGGGCACTTGGAGCCGCCCCTCCTGCCGTCAACACCCCATGATGGCCGTTTCCTTCCTTAAACCCTCATCAAAACTTGTTCTTCAACCTCAGCACCTGCCCGGCAGGTGGCAGCGTGGGGCAGAGGGTTTGCCACGTGCATACAAAATTGTCAATTGGATTCCCTCCCTTGAACCACCCCCAGTTTGCAGCTTTGGATTATGTCACTGAAACTGTGTGGCTGAAATTTCGATCCAAGGAGGACATCCCTCCTTTCATTCTTTTAAAAACGAAACAAGATAGCAGATCCAAAAATAATGGCCTGTTTTATATCATCAGTTCATTTTTCTGCAGACGAGTCCCATACATGGAGTGTTCTGCTCATTGTTCACTGGTCTGGTTCACAAATGGCAAGTCCAAAACTGTGGCTTACCTCGGCTGGGGAACCTTAGGACTAGGGGTCAAATAAAGCCCTTCAAGCAATTCTATGTGGCCTGTTAATTTCTCCCCAGCCCACTCCCCTCACCAGCTTTGCTTTGCCCCTCAGATGTTTGTGCCTGACTGCAGTGTGTCCTGCAAAGCAGATCATGCTTCTTGCTTGCCTGGATGGAGAGGGTTGTGTTCAGAAAATAATCGTCTGTACAAAGGTGTTGCTCTGCACACTTTTGCCTTTGGATCCACCCACTACTGCCATGTGGCCCTCAGAAGGCTGCCCAGGAGATAATGTGGCCCTTTGGTCTGAAAAGGGACCACCCCAACTCTGCCTCCTGGGACTTTGTGAATGTGTGGACTCCCAGAGAGGATCTTGCAACTGCTTTGCTCCATCCCAGTCCTTTTTCAGTGCCGCACTGAGTTCAGCCAAAGTTTGGCTTGGAGTATCCTCACTGAAACCAGGGCTCTGGGTTAAGCTTCCTCTTTGCTAGCTACGAGCTGTAGACAAGAACATGACTGAAGAAAGCATCTGTTCACACATCACGTAGCTAGTACAAAATGCAGCAGCTTTGCACTGCTGCTGAAGAATTTGATTGGCTGCCAACTAACCAACAATGTGTCGCCTCTGGTGCTCAAAGCCCAGAATGCTTGGGACCAGGATGCCTAAAATAAAATCATGCCCCCCATTATATACTTAATTGATCACTGAACTGTTCAGACGAGGGCATCCTGCAAATACTGTCTTAACAGAAGATTTGTTCCAGAATTGGCTTTTAGTGTGTCAGCAACTCTCTCCCATTGAAGCACCAGGAAGGAGCCTTTGGCCCTCCAGATGTTCATGGACTACAACTCCCATCCTCCCTGATGATTGACTGTGCTGGCTGGGACTGATGGGGGTTGGAGTCCTTAAATCGGCATTAGCTATTAGGTGGGTGCTGTCTTTGTTGTCTTTTCAACACCTATTGAACGCCTTCCTTTTTCAACAAGCCGTTTTCCAACAAGCAGTCGGTATCTGTATTGAAATTGAAAAATGGAATTGTCTTTAATTCTCTGTATATGTGGAATTGTTTTTATTTGTTTTGCATTGTTGGTCATTATCATTTTACTGTGGAATTGGTTCAAGATTTCTATGTGAAGTGGATTCATGACTGCAATCACATTATTAAGAATGTAAGAAAGGCCTTTTTGGGTCAGGCCAATCGCTCATCTGTTGCAGTTTGACCTAATCATGCCGCTGTTCTTTCATTCCCAGCCATAAACACCTGTGCTATCAACAATGGTGGATGTGAACATGACTGTGTGCAGCTCACCCTCTCACAGCATCAGTGCCAATGCCGGCCAAATTACCAGCTGAAGGAGGATGGGAAGCATTGCATTGGTGAGTCTCCCCTGCCCTTTGAGGGCTCGGATCAAGCAGAGGAACGTGGCAGGTGCTGTCTTATACTGAGTCCTGGATCCTTGGTCTATCTAGTTCCGTATTGTTCACACAGCATTTTGGACAGGAGACATTCGCAGCCCTATCAGGAGATGCCAAGGTTTGAACCTTTGACCTTCTGCTCTGCCACTGAGCTATGGACCTTCCCCTAGTGAGTTCCTAGTCCTCATGATTCTAAATGAAGACCTGGTTTAATAAGAACAAAGGAACATGCCTTATACAGATCAGACCACTAGTCCATCCAGCACAACATTGTTTCTACTTGCATGCATGTTCAAGGTTTCCAGCAGGGGACATTCCCAGCCATACCTGGAGATGCCAATGATGGAACCTAGGACCTTCTGCATGCAAAACAGGTGCTCTAGCTACTGGGCTACTGCCCTCTTCCCAAATGGTCCCGAGGGCTATATATTGTCTCTAGGATGAGAGACAGGTACACCTCTGCAGAATACTTGCATGGAATTGTGTATATTTAATAAATATAAGGAATTCCTCCACCTCCACCACCACCCTAAAAAAATATTATTGTCAGGGTCAAATTTGTACAGTGGAAATGCAGTCACCAGTATCTATATTTTAATTCAGTTTTTAAAAATTGGATGAATTGTTTGGAATTAAGTTAGTGTGCGTTTTCACATTTGGTGCTTAATTTAACACAATTACAGCCTGGGGGTGGGGGGAGAAGAGAAATCGAGAGCAACCCAAACTGACAGCCGATTCACCCATCCATGGCAGTAGCTCAGTGGTAAGAGGTTCTGATTTGCATACAGAAGGTCCCAGGTTCAATCCCCAGCATCTCCCGGGAGGGTTGGGCTCAGTGGCTTCATCATACAGCATCGGCTTTGCGTGCAGCCAGCCCTGGGTCCAGGCTCCAGCATCACCAGGTAGGGCAGGGGCTGCCTGAAACCCTGGGGCTGTCCTGATGAAAACAAGAGACAGTGGTGAGTGCTGTTAGGTGTGCCACCCCCTGGGCTTCCACAGGTGTTCCAAGTGAGATCAGCTGGTCGGGAAATGGTTGCTCATTCATTATGATAGCCTGGACCAGTGGTTCTCAACCTGTGGGTCCCCAGATGTTGTTGGACTACAACTCCCATCATCCCTAAGCTCTTGCCTTGCTAGCTAGGGGTGATGGGAGTTGTAGTTCAACAACATCTGGGGACTCACAGGTTGAGAAAGGCTGGCCTGGACTGAGGCTCCCTGATTCAGGGCCGGATTTAGGTTTGACGAGGCCCTAAGCTACTGAAGGTAATGGGGCCCTTTATATGTCCAGCTGTCCTTTGTCAACAGCAAATTGTCGCTGTTTTTTGTGTTGAATATATGCTATATAGTAATTTATGGACCTAATAGGTATCTAAAGCCATTTGCATGTAACAAAATATGTATTTTATCAAAGTAATTCTTGAAGTGAAATACAGTTAAGAAGAATTATATTAATAGTGAAATACAATTAAGAAGAATTATATTAATAGTGAAATACAATTAAGAAGTAGCATATTAATAGTGAAATAATTATTACCATATTTTTCGCCCCATAGGGCGCACCGCCCCATAGGACACACCTAGTTTTTGGGGGGAGGAAATAAAGAAAAAAAATTTTATTTCCCCCCCAGCCCCGAGAACAGCCTGCTATCCGCAAGCCTAGGGAGCCCGGCGGGAAGTCGCGCCAGTCTCCCCAGGCTTGCGGAGAGCTGCGTGAAGCCCGGGCGTGCTCTTCAGCGCGCCCCAGGCTTCGGAATACAGGCAGCTCTGCGCAGCCCTCGGGAGCCCGGTGCGACTTCCCGCCGGGCTCCCTAGGGCTGCGCAGAGCTGCGCGGAGCCCGGGACTGCAGGAAGCTCTGCACAGCCCTCGGGAGACCAGCGTGACTTTGTGCCGGGCTCCCGAGGGTTGCGCAGAGCTTCCTGAAGCCTGGAGAGCGACGGGTCGGTGTGCACCGACCCCTCTCGCTCTCCAGGCTTCAGCGAAAGTCTGCATTCGCCCCATAGGACGCACACACATTTCCCCTTCATTTTTGGAGGGGAAAAAGTGCGTTCTATAGGGCGAAAAATACGGTAAGCTTTTTCCCCCTTTAATTTTTGGGGGGGCCTCCAAGAGAGTGGGGCCCTAAGCTATAGCTTGTTTAGCTTATACGTAAATCTGCCACTGCCCTGATTGCATGGCCAGTTTGTGTTTAGAAGGGAGTGCGTAATGATGTTCTTTCAGACACCTTTTGAGGGATTGCTTTGTCTTTGGAGGAATAGGAGAAGGGAGGGAAGTGGAGCGAAATGAAATAGAACCAAGCCCAGGAGTCTCCCATACCAGGGAAGAGACAGAATTATCTCTGAGGAAGGGCTCCCCCCCCTTCCCTGTCCCTCCCCCTTAGTCATCTCTGGTTCCAGCAGAGGAGGGGAAAAAGCCAATGATGGAGAGAGAACCAGCTGGATAATCTCAGCTGGAAGGACTCAGATAAGAGACAGAAAGGGGAGGATGCTGGGGTGCAGATTAACCTAGAACAGGAGCTCCCTGGTGGAAAGTTGAAGCTGCAGCTCTTCTGGCATCTGAGTGCTGGCTGATCCCTCTTCAAAATCTACTTGAAAGGACTTGGCCCCTGGCTTCCTTTCCTGAACAACTGCATGCAGGATAAGCCATTGCCAGTGTTCTTTGGAAAGGGTGTTTGGCCGTTCTAAGAACCCGCACGGCGTAACTTCTCTTCTGCACAAGATGCGAGGAAGCCTCCATCCAAAGCAGTTGCACCCCACTGTTCCTCTCTCATAAGCAGAACTATTTTGGGCAACAGCCTGTGGGTTTCTGCAGATGACCTATTTATTGAGAATAGACTCCATCCAGCTCAATATTGACTTCACTGACTGGCAGTGGCTGTCCAGGGGGAGTCTCTTCCCTGTCCTACCTGGAGATGCTCCTGTGATCTTCTGCAAGTGAGGCCAAGGTTCTGCCTTCGACTGCTTCCTTTTGGACCATTTCCAACTGACTCGCTGCCTCCCTTCTCTTCCCAGTGAGAAACCCATGTGCCAACAGGAATGGAGGCTGCATGCACCAGTGTCAGAGCCGGCGTGGGGTGGCGCATTGTGAGTGCCACCCTGGATACAGGCTGGCAGCTGACAACAAAGCTTGTGAAGGTACGGGGAGTCTCTTGAGGCTCTTGCACAATTTTTGCAGAGCTGTCCTTTTTCTCTCCCCCCCCCCCATGCAAATGCCTTGCTAATCTCCATAGATGCTATAATTAGTTGCTCCGTCTGGTCTGGGAGGATGATAAATGAGCCTTCAGCTGCCCTAGAAGATAAGTGCTTGCAAAAACAAAAATCCCATTTACTTCTTGCAATTAATACAGATCTTTGTAGTGTTCATGGGGGTGGGGTGGGGACAGCAACCAAAAAACCCTCAGCCACCAATTCTATGCATGTCCAATATGCTCCATGCATGGGAGAGAGACTCCTGGGACAGGGGTAGGGGTGCCCTGCTGATTGTAGACTACAACTCCTATCATCCCTGACTGTTGACCCAATGGTCAGGGATGATTGGAGTTGGTATTCAGCAACATATTAGGGGGAAGTGATGTGGTGTCCTCCTGGTGTTCCTGGATAACAGCTTTGTGCATCATCCTTGCATGTGGGCCATACTAACCTCGTACAACTGCACTACGACTCCCATTGTTGGGGAAATGCGGGGGTTGAATAACCAACACCCTGTGGGTTCAGCCTGGACAGCCAATAAAATCCAGGCTCCAGTTGTCAGTCAAACAGGACGTTTATTTAGGTGTTGCAAAGCCAGTGCAACACAACCTCAGCTAGCAAGTAGTTGAGGGATGGCACCCCAAATATGAAAAAAACCACAAGCATTTATACATTTATAAGCAAAGAGAAGGAAAGGGGCAGTTATGTCCATATATGGCAGTACTTCTGCTATCTTCTACTGGTTCAATCAGGAGGCATAACATCTTAACTTTCCTTCCTTCCTTCGTCCTTAACAGTTACAGCAGTAGCTCGTGTTTTCATGTCGTTCTGTGCTTCTCTTACAAACACAACCTTCACATTCCAGCCTTTCCTTGCTCAGCCCTTCTCTGACACATTTCAACCTTTAATTTAATTATTTCCATAATTTGTACGACACCCATCATCCCTGACCATTCGCCAGGCTGGCTGGGGCTGATGGGAGCCGGTGTCCAACAACATTTAGAGCTGGGGAGTTCATGTGGGGCCCTTCATAAGTTGTTGGATGGACTACAGCTCCCCTCAACCTTGACTATTAGCCAGGTTGGCTGGGTCCTTCAGGTGTTGGGAGTCCAGTGACTATTGGAGGACACCACATTGCCCACTAGAAAACTTAAGAGTGTGGCAACCAAAACAAGATGGTAAGGCATGCTCTGCATTGTAAGATCTTTGCAGCCAGAGAGAGGGTTGGTGTTGTTTAGTCGTCTTAGTCATGTTGGATTCTCCATGACCCAATGGACCAGAGCATGCCTTGCAAACTCTCACTTTCTTCCCAAAGCTTCTTTTTTATGTCCCCCCTGCCTATTCAATCTATTCATCAGCGACATGCGAGCACCCCTAGTCAACTCATCTCCAAGTACACATGCGCCTAGACTAGCGGATTACCGCTGTCCACTCCTTTTATATGCGGACGACGCGGTAATTCTATCTTATACACGTGTTGGACTAACCAGAGCTCTGAAGATCTTTGCCACGTATTGTCAACTCAACCAATTAACCATCAATCATGCTAAATCTAAGATTCTGATTTTCGCCAGAAGTCGGAGATTATACGAATGGAAGCTTGGTGAGCAAAAATAGAGCAAGTCCTAAAATTTCAATACCTAGGAGTTATTTTTCAATACAATTTGGGGTGGAAAGCACATATTCAACACCTACTTAATAAGGCCAAAACTCTGTCATATGCGCTCCTCCGATTTTTCTTTTCGGATGGAGCTTTGCATGTTCCTCGGCCCTAAAGGTGTTCAAGGCAAAAGTGGTTCCCGTGCTTGCTTATGCTGCCCCGCTCTGGGTCGTGATGACAGACCTTGCTCCTCTTGAGACTTTGCAAAACCAATTCCTACGTCGGCTTCTAATGCTCCCCCTGTGCGTAAGCAACGCAGCCATGCGTCTAGAATTGAGGATCGCATCCTTAGAAACTTGCCTGTGGAAGCAAGTCTTCAATTATTGGTTATCATTGTGGCACAGATTACCAGACCATTACCTTGCCCAATGCTTATGGCGAGATGAATTCTCCAGCCTTTGGACCAGTAGAATTCATGCCAAACTCCTGAGCTATGGAATCTCTCCCTTAGATTCCCTAAAACTAGATCAAATCACTGCTCAAAGACTGATCCGCCAAAGACTGGATGACATCGATTTACAGCAAAATTATATGCTGGGGGGAGGTGTTTGTTCGCCCCAGAACATTGGTATCACTTTAACTTACTGTGTTCCATCATACCTCTCCTCCCTTTCGACTGTTGCCCATAGGCTGGCCTTCACCAAAGCGCGGTTTAATGTTTTTCCCTCCAATGTCCTGAGACATAGATTCTCAAAGGGCCAAACCTCCGCCATGTGCGAATGTGATAAGGAGATGCCGGAGTCGCTTCAGCACATTATGTTCACTTGCCCCTTATTTAAGGTGCCACGGGCAAATTTGTTGGGATCAATCATACAGAAATTAGAGGGTACTCCACCAAAATTCCACCTCGCCCAAATCTTGCAGGATAAGGATGCCCATACGACCCTGAAAGTGGCTAGGTTCCTGGTCGCTGTCCTTACCCAAAAGCGTCGCCAAGGAGCACCACAAGCTAATTAAGGCGTAGTATGCCATT